AGGAGGGGGAGCAGCAGGGTCACAATGTTGGGCATTGTTGAGTTCCTGGCAGGGAATGGAGCAGAGGTGCAGGCCTTGGGGTTGCCAGGCGAAGCCCCAATCCCGCCGATGACGGCCCTTGATCGTCTTGGCGATGTGGGGGACTGGGCCCTGGTCAAAGTGTGCGGCCGCATCCTCGAAGCGTTGCCGCACACCTGGAAGCTTGTGGCTGAGGCAGGTTTGGCCTGTCGCATACATTGTGCCGGCAACGTGGCTGCCGCCCTTTCTGTTGGGCAGCGGGTCTCGTTGCCGCTTGTCCAGAAGAGCACCTGCTTCTCCAACCTGTCCATCACTCCATTTTCGAAAGTTTGCCCTGAGGGAGATGCAGACATATGCAGACACAGAATCTCTACCGAGACGTGTGGCATTTGCATTGTGAGCATTTGGGAGCAGCTTGGAGGAGGACCGCTTCGCAGCCCTTGCCATGTGTGCACGTCGCAGCGCTCATGGTGAGTGCCATGCGCTTGCTTTTGAAGAATGTGCACGCATGGAGTTGGTGTAAGTTGGTTCATGCAGAACCATGTGAGACGAAGCCGATACACGCAGACGCAAACTAAATAGAAGGCAGCACTATATAGTAGGCTATATACGAACTATATCTAAGATTATCTAAGATTAAATGTATTAAAAAGATGCCAATGCGAAGCGCAATGCGAATATGAATATGTATACGAGGATCCAGGAATCATTTAATTATTCATACTATAGTACCTCTAGTTATCCTCTAGTTATATTTTAACAAAGACTGTTTCTGAGGGTAAAGGCCGTTGCTGGGTGTGCCATCGCGCCTTCGGTATTCTTCCTGTAAATGCTCGCAGAACAAGATCCTTGTGCGACGTCCATGCGCGTGTCTACTGCGGGGGAGCACGCAAACGCAGCCGCGCGAATTTGTCGACATCTTGGGGCACGGCGTTTTCCTTGAGAAGTGTCGCATACAATGGGTCTCGTGCGATGCGCAAGTGTATTTGGACGGCGCAGGCCGGCAGATTTATATATGATTAACTATATATAATTTTTCAAAATATAAACATCGTATGAATATGTGTTTAATTCTATTTAGATATATGTAAATACGTTGTGGAATATAGATGTAATTCATCATGCTGTTCGGTCCATCGATGGTCGAGGACAGGCCTGGACAACGAGCCGGAGGTGAACGCCTTCCGCGCTGATGTCGTCCCTGATCTCTGCTGGAGTTTCCTCATCAAAATCCTAGGGATTTGATTGTTTTTGTTGGTGGCAAATGCTACCAACAACACAAATAGTTTACAGAACATGGGATTGAAGCAATAAACCATGATGGTATACAATGGGTATACAATGGGAATATACAATGGATACATAATATAAGTTATCCAGATAAATGGTGAGTCGTTTTCAGTATATGTTATTGTTGATTGTGATAAGTATATTGCATGGTTTGTTCTTGTGGTCATACCCTCTGATACATGATGGATATGATGGCAAGTAATGGGGCGCGGGTGGGTTGCAACCGTGTAATTGCTGGATGATTCATGGACTGTACAAGCTGTACATGTTGTACCGGCTTTCGAATTGGATTAGTTCGCCGATCGTTTTCCAACTAGGCTATAAATGTCTGCAGAAAGCGAGTGGATCAAGTTGGCATCTGGAACTTTATCGCGTTTTGGTTACACTGTTTGTCTGGAAGGTCGGTGACATGTTGTTTTGATGATAGAATTATATATATATATGTATATATATATATATACATGGTATATCTATATCTATATATCTCTATATATATATATATATGGATGGTTGGTGAATTCGACCCAGTCTTCACAAAATTCTGGTCGCTCGCATCCCTGGCCCTGGGGGGGTCACGCGGTCCTCTTCGGAATGCCGGGCCTGGAGAAACATTCATGGCAACCCAATGGCTCTGGTCAACCCGGTCGACCATTTTGGGCCCCCAATGAGTGACCAGAAATGTATAATTATACATAACATCGGTAAGTCAATGCATACGTATTTACTATATAGAGATTATATATATATATACAATATATATATATATACACACTATATACTATATATAAATATTATATAGTGTATATATAATTATTGTATGTATATATTTATAGTATATATATATATAAATATATTTTTTATATAGTGTGTATATACATATATATATATAGTGTATATATAATATATAGTAATATGTGTATATATATATATTTATACGTGCTTTCCAAGAGACACTGTAACTGCAAAAACCCTTGGAATATCGATATCCCAATCCTTGCGCATCCGCGCATTTGGTCCTGAGGCTTTAGCCCGGTTGCGAGGGAGGTGCCAGAATTTTCCACATGCCATGGGCTTTATCAATGTTTGGAAGTCCGGCACGGATGAAAGCCGCTTGGTGTGAAGCCCAAGTTGGAGGGTTGAAAGTCGAGGATGTTCCTTTAATGTGGTAAAGCCAATGCCATAGCCACCATCCCCCCAGTGGGGTTTATTATTGGGTGGATACATCCATTTGGGATGATTTATCATAGCCCCAAATGGTTGATGGAATTGTTTATTATTGGGTTTGCCACATTCGATTTCTTTTAATCCCCAAGTGTTGGTTGGAAATAGCCGACTTTCGCGATGGATGAATTTCAGCTTTGGGAGGAGAAATTCTGACCTCACCGGCCGATCAAACCCCGGAGAATTTCACAACTTTGAGGAAAAGTTGGTCTCACAACTTGGATGCAAAGATTTAGTCTCTGGTAATGTAACATAGCTATTGAAAATTTACATTTATAGTATATAGATGTATATAGCTGATTTACCTATTAGACATGGGGACTTTCCAGTTCGCTTCTTGTATGTTTACCAGAGGGTATAGATCTGTGAAAGAAATCTCCGTGGAATCCGGGATGGGATCTGGGATTCGAAGGTGGGAGATCACATCAGATTTGCGCATGTGCAAGCTCAAGAAGACTGTTATCTAAACAATTGTTCAATCAAAATCGCAAACACATCAAATCCCCAAACGTGGGATGTTATTTAAAAGATATACGTTACAATATATATATATACACACATGCTTTACTACATATAACGAGTGATTCTGGAGAAGATGGGAGCTATGGAATATCGCGGGAACCCACACATCGGGATGTCAGGTATTGAGAAGCTGAAAAACATCAGCAGCTCTTATCATCCCATGCGCAACAACGCCACCTTCTGCCAGATGCTGGACACGTGGCATTTGTTTTGACGCCGAAAGATCCGTGGAACAAATGGCGAAATCATGGCTAAGGTCAACCCCGGATTAATAAACCATGGTTTATTAATTAGGGGGTACTCCTCCAATAGTCATAATCTGATTCTTAAATGGTACCCTCCCAATTAAACAGCCTAGGGGTTTATTAATCCATTGAAGACATTCCCATAAAATATCAAAAACATGTATTTGGGTTTGTCTGAAAATAGGATATCTTCAATTCTAATGGATTGTTCTATAGTTATACTGAGTTATACCAATAAACCTGACCATCAAAGGGGGGCCCGATTGTCAGAGAAAACCCATTGGTTTGAGAGATCATGATGCGAAGTCTCAGAGAATTCAGTTTTCATGTTCTTGAAGTTTCCTGCCGTCGTTCACTGTACTATAGACATATATATATATATGGTGTCCATGAGGATATTATATTTTAAAATTCCAGTACTTCCTATTTTCAAGTTACATTGGGTGAATCGCAGGTCCCACATTATAAATTGATTTGTTTAGCCTATTAACTCTAGATATATCTAGCATCAACCCTGGAATTCTCCTAGTTATGAACCAACTGAGCTATCTAGGCAGGCCCACGTCAAAATGAACCCTTCATGATTTGTGGGCTTATTACAGTATGGGTGGGTGAACCTAACCAGCTCGATATCTCTACCACAAGCCACAAACCATAGATTGTATGTATATATTTATATATACTCTCCAAGTCCCCAAAAAAATGTGTTTTACATTGGTTTTCATTGTTTTATATTGTTTTACCCCATTTTGTTTCACGTTTGTAGCATTTTTTCAGGTGGCCGAAAACTCCACGCCCAGGACGAGGTCAACCCAACGCAGCGCAGTATCGTGACCTTTGCTGCCTGGACGTCACGAGGGTGAGGATGTGACAAGTTTCGTTCGCGTCTTTTCTAAGGATTTGATATGGGGGCTTCCATAAATGTTATACAATGATGGTATATAATCATATGCAACTGGGGGTACCCCTATTTCAGAAAACCTCCATATGTGTCAAACATCATGCTACAATATCGGAATTTTATTCATTTTTTTTTAATGGCTTATAACTCAAAGTGATATACAATGTTTTATGATTTTTCTTACATATTAAAATAGTTTAACGGATTTGAAACTCAAAACAATTTTATGAAGAGGTCAAACAAAGAACTAGTTTGAAACTCTAATATATTTAATTATTAGGATTTGATTTGGGTCAAAGATAACGTTGCATCATGTTTTATAATGTCGCATTGTGTTACGTACAATGTTTTATCATGTTGCTCAATGCTGTACAATGTTGTAAAATGTGTTTTAATGTTTTGTATAATATTATTCAATGTTGCATAATGCTGTTTGATGTTATACTATATATATATCATACAGTCATTCAATATTTTAAACTATTGTAATGGCAAAGAACGGATACAACAGGACAATCACTTGGGATATCATTAAGAAATGATCGTTGATGATGGTTGATGATGGTTGATGATGGTTGATGATGGTTGATGAAGGTTGATGATGGTTGATGATGGTTGATGATGGTTGATGATGGTTTGTGATGGTTTGTGGTGGTTGCTGATGGTTGATGATGGTTTGTGATGGTTGCTGATGGTTGATGATGGTTTGTGCGGGTTTGTGATGGTTGATGATGGTTGATGATGGTTGATGATGTTTGATGATGGAAGGTGATGGTTGATGATGGTTTGTGCGGGTTTGTGATGGTTGATGATGGTTGATGATGGACGGTGATGGTTGATGATGGTTTGTGCGGGTTTGTGATGGTGGATGATGATTGGTGATGGATGATGATGGTTGATGATGGTTGATGAAGGTTGATGATGGTTGATGATGGCTGATGATGGTTGATGATGCTGTGTGATGGTTTGTGGTGGTTGCTGATGGTTGATGATGGTTTATGATGGTTGATGATGGTTGATGGTGGACGATGATGGTTGATGATGGCTGATGATGGTTGATGATGGTTGATGATGGTTGATGATGGTTGATGATGGTTTGTACGGGTTTGTGCGGGTTTGTGCGCGTTTGTGATGTTTGATGATGGCTGGTGACGGTTGGTGATGGTTTGTGATGGCTGATGATGGTTGATGATGGTTGATGATGGTTGATGATGGTTGATGATGGTTGATGATGGACGATGATGGTTGATGATGGCTGATGATGGTTGATGATGGTTTGTGATGGTTGATGATGGTTGATGATGGTTTGTGCGGGTTTCTGATGGTTGATGATGGTTGATGATGGTTGATGATGGTTGATGATGGTTTGTGCGGGTTTGTGATGGTTGATGATGGTTGCTGATGGTTGATGATGGATTATCAGTTATTAATGTAGTTCACCTACCTGGTTTCTTGGGGACGAACTGGTCCAGTTTCATACGGTTTCCCCCGCGATGCTGTGTTCGCCTGCCAGAGTTGAGTGAGAAAACATACGGAAGCCGCGATTCAGGTGGTGAAATCAAAAAAAAACAGGGCTGGGCTTCACAACTCCAAAATTATGCAATATAATTTAAAGCAAAAATACATAAATATTAAAACATCATAAATAAATAAATAGAATAAATAATAATCAATAAATAAATGAATAAATAAATATATATATATATATATTCCTTAGAGTAGTCAATGGCTCGTACCTGGCTTAACAAAAAACTATGCCTACGGTTTTTGTTGGATATAGTTAAATGGCATTTTTCGATCAACAAACTTCGCTGGGGGGGTCCCACTACCTTAGTCATACTGGCCAGGGTGGGTTTGTCCAATGGGGAGAGACCCGTTTTCAGGCAAATATTGTGAATCAAGGGAACTGGACATCAAGGATATATCGTCACAGATCAATCCATACGACATATGCGCAGTGCTGAATGATCCAGCAAAGAGAGCAATCGAGGTAGCCCCTACCGAGGTGTTTATGTTCGTCTTGTCTCGGGGTGTACTCTCCTTGACAGACATAGTGGCTGTTATCATGGCAAGGATGACAACGGGAAAGAAATTGCGAAATGACTTGCCAGCTCAATGGCTGTGTCTTTTTTTAACGCGTGCAGTTTTTAGTAAAGGCAGGAAGTTCGATTTGTGCGAATCGTACCCCCGAATCATACCCCGAATCATACCCCCAAATCTTACCCCCAAATCATACCCCAAAAAATCACGATTATGAATGTCTCTTTTGGGATCATTTGGGATTGCATTGGCCTCACTAGTTATAATGGACCTGACAAGCTAATTGACCAGTGTTGGCCAGACCCGATGATCCCTGGCTACCTTCACATACCTTCACGGAGTGGCGAATCTTCTCCACGCGCACAGAGTCTCATCATTATCCCTAAGCTGGCTGGCTCTGGCTGGCTGGCTGGCTGGCTCTGGGTGGCTGGCTCAGTTGCTGCTGCTGGTTGGGTGGCTGGCTATAGGGCTGGCTAGTTGCAGCTGGCTGGCTGCGTGGCTGGCTGCTTGCTGTGTTGCTGATGAGGCTGATGAGGGGGATGACTCTGGCTGCGGCTGGCTGGCTGGCTGGCTGGCAACCAAACCAAAACTCCGTCGAAGAGGAGCATAAGCCTAAGCGTAGCTGAGCTAAAGGTACATGAGAAGAACATCCAGAAGAGACGCCAACAGGCCGGCGGATATAAATCATAGATGTGCATTGAGATCTTCACATTCTTCATATTCAGGTCCTGTCCAAGGTCGTCTGGCAGGTCGAGCCATTGCAGCCATTGACAAAGTAGCAATCGTACTAGGTTGACGGTGGGAAAAGGAGGCTCAAGCAACAAAGCTTCCTGAATTCAAAAAAAGATGGGTTTCCGAATCATACCCCGAATCATGCCCGAATCATGCCCGAATCATACCTCAAACTTCCCAATTCTGAACCATGGTACATTTGCAAGATCAGAACTTGTGTTTTGTGAGCTCTTTTCTTTGCAACCATTCGCCACGGGCTACACTACGCCTCCTTCTGCTTCTGAGAAAAATCCGACAACAGCACCCTGCAGCGGCATCCTGCAACGGCACCAACATGCCAAATCCAAAGCGCACACACCACTTTAACTGCAGCACCTTGAAGCAGCACCCTGCAGCGGCACCACCAGCCAGCTCCAGAGCGGACCACTCTAACAGCTGCACCCTGCAGCGTGCAGCAGCACCCTTCACTAGCACCCTTGCAGCACGAGTTGGGTACAGTACGTACCCTCCTTGCAGCACCCTGAAGCATCACCCCTTGCAGCAGCACCAGCAGGCTAGCTCGACAGCACCCTCAAGCAGCACCTTCCACCCGCATCCGCTCACCAGCAAGCCCGCTCCAAAGCAGGGTTTACAGCACACACCACTCTGACAGCAGCACCTTCAATCATCACCCTCAGGCAGCACCTGCAGCAGCACCCTGAGCGCCACCAGCATCGCTCCAAACTGTACACACCACTCTGACAGCAAGCAACACCCTGCACCAGCACCTTGCAGCGGCATTCCAACGGCACCACGATGCCCGCTCCAAAGCGCACACACCACTCTGACAGCAGCACGCACAGCGTCAAAAGCATGCCAGCTCCAAAGCGCTCTACGTATGGTATAATTGCCAACAGTTGAAACATTTTCGGGGTAAGTGTGGGTAAATAACCATACACGGAGGATGCAGGGAAACACTAAATCAAGGTCCGCGAATCATACCCACGAATCATACCCCGAATCATACCCACGAATCATACCCCCTAGTCAAACTTCCCGGGTTGGACACGGTATTTTGAGACATATATGTTCAATGGTGATTGTTTAACAAACGTGACATGTTGCTATTTCCACTTCACCTATTGATATGGAAGTTTCCAGACATGGGTGGTAGTGATATATTGATATACACACATATATATATACAAACATTTAGATATGTATATATATACATACAAATAAATACACACATATATATATATATACAAATACATATACATATACATATCTATATATATATATATGTGTATATGTACATATGTAAATATATACATATACATATATCAATATACATATACATATACATATATACATATATACATATACATATACACATATACATACATACATACATACATACATACATATATATATCAATACCTCATTTCTGATATTGGTATATTACTTATATCATGTTATTCTATTGTCCACATGTTGACATGGTAGTTTCAAATCATCCAAGTCTTAGCGCCAAGGTCGAGGAACCGCTCGGGCGCTTCATCTCTGGTTACGCGCAGATGGAGGCTGGATGCCAAATTGGGAAGGCCGGGGATCCATTTGTTTCTCATCCTGAAGATCCCTAATATCATAATATCAGTGTTTAATGATGTTTATATATTCATGTTTATATAATTAGTCAATGATTTTTTTGGACATATTGCGATATTGATATAAGTATATTTCATCATATCGAATATGAATGTTTGGATTTTTTATCATCAGATACTGGTTGCGTATTGAATTTCAGGAAGTTGGAATTCTCGAAATATTCCCCTGGTGCCAACGGGCACACTGGGCGACGAATCCAACGCTCTCATCCTAAGAAAAATGCGACACCTGGCGAAGGTGTTCTGTCCTCAAATGGTATGCGGGTATGGTAGATATAACTATAGTTACTATTTTACTATATAGTTAATGGATGTTAATGGGGTTTATAAACCAATTTATGTTTTCTGTTTCAATTGATGTGGGTGAAATATCATAAACCACCCATGCTATGTTAGAATGGTTTATAATGTCAACCCTGGATTAATAAACCCCTAGGTTGTTTAATTGGGAAGGTACCATTTAAGTACTAGATTATGACTATTGGAGGAGTACCCCCTAATTAATAAACCATGGTTTATTAATCAGGGGTTGACTTTTTATATATATATGGTGGTTTATGATATTATTTCTAACATGGTATACCATGATTAATTTTATATAAAACCACCATATATACCACATCTATTTATGGTGACTGGGGGGTGGGTTTATGGGATCTCTCTGTTGGATGTACCGGCTCCACGGATCTGGGATGACCAAGAGTGCAGTTAGCCACCGATCCGTGGCTGGTCCAAAAATTGGGTGGCCAAAGGTACTACCCTCTGGTAAACATATAAAAAACTATTGAAAATGGCCATAGAAATAGTGGATTTACCCAACAAAAATGGTGATTTTCCATAGCTATGTTAATTTACTGGAGGGTAAGAACTGTTGTATTTGGGGAACCCTGACCATCCCGGAGATCATGTCGCATATGTCGTTTTTTGGGGTTTTTCATGGTTGTTCCATGCCCTGGATCTCTGGATGAATGGTCCATAGAGTCCCAGATCCGTGGAAATCGTGGCCTTCAAAGCAGATGGGTACGGGTGACAATTGAAGATACATGTGGCCATGATCCATTTGATCCATTTGATAATCCGTGTTGATAATTTGAATATCAAATTATATCAAACAATGAATTTTTACCAATGTTTATCCATTTGATTACTGATCCATTTAATGATCCATTTTGAGTAGCAAACCATCCTTTTTTGGGGGGGCGGTTACAACACAAGACACCTCAGGTCAGTAGCCCCTACTCGGACTACTGGCAACTTGGCAGCTCAATATTTTTCAGGGCAACATCCAACGTTCTTCCATGGAAAACATCGGAAACCTACTGTGGATGGAAGAAATCCTTAACCAGTTGATAGGTGGTTTATCCCATTATAGGGTTTTGACATGCCATTTGATACGGTGATGCAGGATTTCACTGGCCCATCCACCGTATGACCATTGTGCTAATAGATCTGAGCTTGACGGCTGGGCCGCCTGCTCGGTGGGCATCAGGAATGCCTCAAGGCATTAAGGTAAGCCTCTGGTTCTGCAACGCTTTGCGAACTGGAAAATCAGCATTTGTAAATACGGTAACTCGATGTAAATCTATGGAAACTCAACATGTTTATAGATTTTATAGATTTGTTTGTGATCGAATATGACGATTTTGTCAAGGATCCAGTTGAAGTTGAGTATCTGTCCCCTGGCAACACAAAATTCTGATTTGACAGAGTCATTTAGTCAGCCGGAAACTATCCTTAAGCAGGCGCCGTGGGTGATTTGTTACATAGCTATGGAAGCCATGGCCCATTTAGTTCGATTGTTTATGATGACTTGCCTATTAACAAATGGTGATTTTCCATTAATCTTCCTATTGAACATTGTGATTTTTCATTGATTACCAAGTCGGCTCGTATTTTGGAATGATCACAATAAGACGAAGCTGCAACCAATCTCCGAATTGGTTAAACACAAGTAACATTAGGAACCTACCATAACTTCCCACATCAGTCATTTAGTATTATGTATGTAAGTATATATCTATGAATACACATATGTGTATTATATATATATAGATAGATAGATAGATAGATATATATGTGGTCAGCCCCCCCCAGAACCCCCCAAGCACATATTCCCTTGGTATTTAGCATAGAAAATGCTTACTGACAACAAGCAGCCTGGGTTTCATAGCTCCTGTGAAGCCTCCATGTTTGTGAAGCCTCCGGATTCGGATTCCATCATGGATTGTAAACAGTAACCATAAGACATACCCTCTGGTAAATTAACAGTTGGACCCTGAAAATCACCCAGTTTTAGTGGAAACTAATCTTCCAAATCCGATGACTGCCAGGGTCGAACTGTTAATTTACAGGCGGGCAATAAGCATCGACACGAATCCATTTTTCAACTGACATTTCAGAGATTTATGATCACTGATCACTTCCCATGAGTTCCCATCTGAATGATCGCCCAGGGATTGAAATATGCCCATGTCATTTGACTATCCCATGAACATGTTCATCCAATCAGTTCATTTCCCATCCTTTTTTTCCAATGGAAATTGTCATCTCTTTTTCAAGTCCAACTGAATTTTCCACTTTTCAATCTATCAAAGAATCTCATCCAATCATTTCATGTCCAATGTCCACATCATTTTTTTCAATCAAAACTATAGGAACACATATTCCAATCATTTCATGTCCCCAAGACTCGTTCCACTAATTTGATCTAATTTGCCTGGTCAACAGTTGCAGGCGCCCCATATCCCAAGTTATGGGGATTGAAATACCGTGGTTATACCTTTCAACTGCACACACGTATTCGTATTATATAGGATTTATTTGCATTTATGTATATAATATATTTATAATATATAATTTATATGGATTTACATGGATTTATTGACTATAACACCTTTTCAAGACTTTCAACTTGTTTTTTTAACCCAAAATTTCCTCATTGTTTGGCAGGGTGGCTCCAACCTATAAATGATAGCCACAATGGGGGGTCAAGTCGTCATTTTACCTCTATATTTACCCAATGTCCCACCCAAACGTAGGGTGTTTGGAGCAAACCTGTACTGAGATAAGTGGCGCTTTCATCCACAAAAAGCTGGGGTGAACTAACCTAATTACATGGGATGAACCACCAAGTACAGTTATGGCCCTCAACAACTATGAAAGGACATTCATAACTCCAACTCAGGTTCATCATGAACTAAACCCAATGTTCGCATATTATAGTCAATCCCAATGTTCCCATATATTATGGTAATATAATATATTCCCAATATTCCCAGTTTATATTACTGAAATAATATCCCATATTATAATCATTCCCATTACCATTCCCAGTAGGTCATTGGTTTGGTCTCCAACACCTTCCGAGGTCGGAGCGTTCTGAGCGTTCTGAGCGTTCTTCGGCCGCCCGAGGCTTCCTGGAGCAGTTCTTCAGCGACGGCCTGCTGCGTAACGGTGGGCGCCCCAGAGGGCCGGACTTTTTCGGTGCTGCCTTTGGGCTTGGGAACCGCTAAGTTGGGGAATATATGTATATATATATAATGTATAATACACATATACACACATACATATATGTGTATGTATGTATATATATATACACATACATATATACATATATACATATATACATATATACATATATACATATATACATATATATATGTACATATGTATTTGTACATATATATATATATTACATATATATATATATCATTATATATATATATATATATATATTTTACATATATACATATGTATATATATATATATTATACATATATACATATACATATATATATACATATATATATATACATTTACATGTGTATATATATATATATGTATACATATATATGTAATATATATATATATATATATACGTGTATATATGTATATATATGTATATGTATATGTATATATGTATATTGGTGTTATTTACTATATATTTGATATAACTCCAATAACTTGGGTTTATGGTAGATACAATTATTAGTTAACTGACTGTGAATATCACTCCAATCACTTGCGTATTTGGGGGCTTATGTTTGTTTATGGTAGGTATCGTGTAACTGTTAGATACTATTAGACTTTTGACTAATTGGGTTTATGAAGCAACCTTTTTCTCTGGGGGGGCACTACCTTGTAGGCGCTCCAAGTACCTAGAAACATGAGGATTAACCATTGATCAACCAGACTTTGCATCAAAAAACGGGGGGGGTGTTTACCCTAGAAAAACCTCATTGCCACCTTGGAGTACTCAGATGTGGCCTGGAGTAATACGGGATAAATGTGTTGTTTATCATGAATTTCAGGGGTCATACTAGCCTTATTTAAAAGATGATGTTCTCTTTTTTTCACCTCCTTATAAGGGATTTTCCATTGCCACATTTGATTACCAGAGGGTATCCTACCTGGTTTGTTCGTAGGTAGCACTCACAGCCTTTGATGAGGACCACTGTAAACCAGCCAGTATAGTGAAGGATACATTTGTTTAAAGGTCATTGCACATTTGTTATGTTCCATCCTGAAATAATTTCTAAATAAGGATCAAGCATGATCAATCATTGAATTTTTACGTATAGAGAGAGAGAGAACAACAGTGGTGGGATAAATACAAGCAATCAATAGTGATAGACATGTACCCAACTGTCATAGAGAGATTGTGAGATCTCCCAACAATGGTAAAATACAAAATGGGAGGTAATCAATCATATACCAACCATGATAGCCTCCGGTGATTTGTGAAAAAACACCACAAAAGAAACGGACGGACGGACGGAACATGACGGAACCACAAGAAAAACATAACATTTGTAGATGGAGATGACCAACGGAGGATGTTCCATCAAAGGTTCATGATTTAGCCAGGAGTTCATCTTGGGGGGTCCCAGCCATTCCCTTAGACTCTAAGACGTGAAGGGCGGTGTTTTATTGAAACGGTAAATAATACATGTAACCACTAAAACTGCTTGGTGGTTTGGAACATTTGTTATTTTTCCATATATTGGGAAGAATAATCCCTACTGACTAATTAATATTTTTCAGAGGGTTTGAAACCACCAACCAGAAAAGTTAAACCAACTTAGCAACGAAAACTTGGATCCAACCAGTGTTCATACCTCCCTCGAAAAAACTGCGAACTCCACAAGAAACCCCACCTGGAATGACCCATTGTATGCCCCCCACAAGAAGGCCTGGCCACGCCAGCCCAGACCCGGCGGAGCCCGAGGCCAGGTGAGATCTCAATTGGAATTCTTGGCGCCTCATGAGTTGACACTCGTCATGGTGACTGCGGGCTGAACGGAGGGTACAGTCGACTGGCTGATGATATTGGATTTTCATGGATTTTCCCTACCTGCTGGTATGATTTGGATGGATTTTCCCTATGTATTTTAGGTGTGTTGCCGGTTGCCGTAAAAGAATGCTGTTTGGGGTTTAAAAAAAAGGGCCATGGTGCCATGTTCGGGGTAAATGATCCAAAAAACTTTCCGAACTTGAAGTATTGACATTTGCCGAGTAAAAAGAAACAGCATGCCAATGGAGACTAAAGGTGATTATTGATATTGTTGGGGGCTACTGAACCTAAGAATGTGCTTTATTCCTGGTGACTGGCAATGTGAGTCGGAGATCACCCAAGATTTAGCAGCAAAGTTGGTGGATGGGATTTCAACGCAGTGAAGGGTATCAACAATTTCACCAGCCAAAAAACGGATTATAGATGGGTATGGGTCAAAAGCTATGATGATGATGATTATTATTATTATTACTATTATTATCTTTTTTTAGTGATATTATTATTAAAAAATATTATCATTATTTGTTGTTATTGTTGTTATTATTATCATTATTATTTACTGTATAATTATTATTATCATTATTACTATTGTTCTTATAATTGTAGATCATTTATATTTTTTATATATCATTATTATTACCAATTTTAGTGGGATGAACATCCATTTAACTTTTTTTGGGGGGTTCATTAGGTGCCAGGGGTTTGATCCATGTCACTTATGCTGCGGGTTGGGGCTGATCCCATCTAAGGTTATTGGGAGTCGTACCCTTTGGTTATGTAAGCTATGGAAAATGGACCGTTGATGATTTATGATGGTTATAGCTATTAAACATGGCGATTTTCCTGTTCGCTACGTCAAATACCCAGAGCTCAGAGGGTATGGTTTATTTTTCCTTGTTCAACATTTTCATGGTGAATGGTTGCTTGGAATGTGTCACTATTTCAGTGGTGGCTTGTTGTGGCAGGATGCTAGTTGTTTCTTGCCATAAATGGGAACATTTTGATCCACCAGGTAAAATATGGTAAACTGTTTTTTTTTGCAATCTAAGAATCTAAGACAAGCCGTGGGAATGGCTTCGCTGTGCACTTTGCGGTATCCTTATATAGGATCTGGTAGGTGATAGGACGCTGTTCCGATAGTGCCAAGAAACACCGGCTGCACAAACCATGAAGTCCAAACCCCAAGTCCCTTTACTGGAACTACCCTCTGGTTATTTAACATTGCTATGAAAATCACTATTCTTGATAGGCCAGGTAAATCATCATAAATCAATATAAATCATCTATAAATGGGTCATTTTCCATCGCCATGGCCATAGCTATGTTAAATCACCCACATGGTATAATTTGTGACAAGTAACTCATTCCATTTTGAGTTACCTTTTGGTACTCGAAGGTGGCAATGGAGAATCCACCTCTTTTCTGTGTCTGTACATCACCCCCATGGTGGTTTTACAGTGTTAAAGGGCTGCACCTGCAATGGGGCCCCTCACCGTTTCAGGGGCTGTGCGAAGAAATTCGATTTCATTGGTAAGGCCTGGACACAGCAAGAGCATGGGATGATGCAGGTGCCCAAAATCCATGGATGTCTCATGTGCCATCGAGCCATAGAGCCATGGTCACCATTGAGTCACCATCCCCGAGGAATCATTGTGGAAGAATATAAGGCATAAATCTGGGATATTTTTGGATTAAAACAATCTCCAAGTTTCAGGTTTATGAAATTGGATGTACCCTGTAGACATGAGATATCATGAGATGATGTTTACTATGACCTGACCTCCAGTCATTGAGTCATGGTTTGTTGATGCGATGGTTTATGGCATTTGGGTTACCACATGTTACCACACTAGCATGGATTGTAAGTTTGCCACAATTGAAAATGTTGTGTCATGATGAAATCAATTGAAATCCATATTCTTGGGCGCAGAGCTCCATAATAATATATATATATATATTGTTGATATGTTTTCCATGACACTCTTGATAGGTTGGCGCTCCAAGTGACAGTCATGCACGGCTGGTGACTATCCAATTCTGATCAAGATCGGTTTGATGTGGTGCAATTGCACGCTTTGTGCCCCCATATTTGGGCATCTACGTTGTATGATATCTGGGAACATGTGTGTATTCTTTCAAGTTCAATATCACCAACGCAGCTAAGAAAAACACTTCCCACCTCCCCACCAGAAAAAACAAACATGGCATCTGACTATTTGACCTTAAGGAAAACCACCGGGCATGCGACTCCTAGGGCCTCATCGAGACAGGTTGAGGAGCCCAAAGCCTTCAGTGAGTTCCTGGCCTCCAGGCGATGCGGAGGATTTCTGGGAACGGTCAAGCTTTGTGAACGCTACGTATTAGTATACTTAACTGTCATCTTTTGTCTACAAATGGAAAGAAATAAAACATAAATGTGTATATGTATATATATAATTATATATATATATAAATAGATATCCCATGCCCCATGGGTTTTTCTAAAAATCGGGTTCCCGTAAATCCACTGGTCAAGTTCATCATTCTCCTTCTTTAAAATGGCTAAAAATAGCAGCTCTCCAGGCAGTGCGAAGATGCAGACCACGAGGTGCAACAGCAGTCTCAATTGGGGATCAAGTTACCGGAAATTGCCATACTGAGGGAATAAACATCCAGCTATATCAACTATTTTAGTGTACCTAATGGACATTAGGCTCCCAGGGTTTCGACTCGCCAATTGAAATATATAATGGCTGTAAACCATCCCCAATACTAGATTTTTTTTGACTCATGATTTTTGACAACCAAGTATTATGACATTAGGGTCCCAGGGTTTGTAAACCCCAGTTTCATAAACCATCCCCAAGTCATTGCCATTTTGATGGCTGGGATTCCAACCACCCCCAGCCTCCTGGGTTTATGGCAGCTAGGGTTGCCCACATTGTCCCATTGAATATTCCCGATTAATATGACAATTAAAAAACCGGGGATGACAATACGAAAAAGAATGGGAAATTCATCCAATTCAATCCGTTTCCGGTCATCTACCCTCTGGTAAACTAACATAACTATGGAAAATCATCATTTTTAATGGATAAATCAACTATAAACGGGTCATTTTCAATAGCTTTTTGTATGTTTACCAGAGGATATTAGATATGGGTTTTTCCATTGGTGAAATCCCAAAAGTCTCCAACCATCTGGACCAAACAAAACCTCCAGTCTCATCCCGATTCTTTGGGGCGACACAAAGCAACATCCACGGTCAAAGGAATCTCTGTGGATAGAACTCTGTCCCAAAAGAAGTAAAGCAACATACTTAATGGCATGGCATAGAAAGAAAGAACAGGTATAAACTTATGTTGCCCCAACCACTGCTTTCTGTTGCCCCAAGGAACGAAACTGAAACATGGTGTGCTTTAGCACAGGGTGACTTCAGGAGATCCTATCACCCCCCAAATTCAAATAGACCCTGCCAAAAGGGAGGTTGGAAGACATTGGAAGACTACATTCCTATAAATTCTATTAAATAGTCCCAGGGTCGGTTGGGTACTCCCCATGACAAAGGGAAACCTCCCCATGACTGCAGGCCTTCCAAAAGCGCACCACTGCATTGGAACTGAAGGTGCTTGGGAAACTGGGAACATCTGGGGAAACATCTTCGAAACAACGGCCCGGAATGGCTTAGGAAAAACTGCGGAACACCTGACGATCTGAACGAAAACCCCCAAAGATCACAACGTCAAATCATGTTGCTTGGAAGTGCACCCAAACATCGGGAGCTGCAGGATCGAGAAAGACTGGGGATTTCACCTGGTTGGTGGTTTGGAACATTTTTTTATGTTTCCATATATTGAGAATGTCATCATCCCAACTGACTTCACTCATATTTTTCAGAGGGGCAGGGCTCAACCACCAACCAGTGTCCACGACGAAATTTGGTCACTATAAAAGCTCTGGGATTTCGACCCCAAATAGTAGGGGGATTGTGGATCATAGCTGTCCTTTTCCCATTGGTTGGTTGATTAATAGAGGGGTTTGTTTACCCCTTTAACAACAGGTAAATGATGATAGATGGTATACCAAACCGGCCCCTCTATGTTTACCAAAAGGACATTATTGTTGTGGATGCCAATCTTTGTGAAGTCCTGGGTTGCGGCAGCTGTGAATCACTGAGAACCACTGAGATGGTTTGGAAATGGTTCAAAAGGTTTGCAAAGTCATTTCCCTATATATAGTTATATATATATATATCCTTATATATATATACTTGTATGTATACTTATATATACATATATACATATATATATATGTATATATAAGTATATATATAAAAGTATATATATATATATTAGTATATATACATAAGTATATATTTGTATAGTGTTATATATCCACAAAGATGTGAGAATCTTAAAGAGATCGTTGTTGTTTATATTCTGTATTGATTGCAGACATATCAAGAAAAGAACCTTCACAGTCCAATCCGATCCCTTTGAATTTGAACAATAACAGCTTTCCAAGATAGATAAACAGATTGTCAAGACTGGGAAATGACTCAGTAGAAATCATGTTTTGCATCATGGAAGATCTGTTCTATGTTTTTGTTGTGGGATCCTGTGCATTTCCAAAGTGTTTCCTGGGGAAGTAAACATCACTCGATCATCCAACGAATTGAGACGGGTTAAGAATCCCGGTGATCATCAGTTCCCAATTCGTAGGCTTATCCCATAGTCCTATAATATCCTATATATAACTGGATGGATTATAGCATATTATAGCCATACAATGAGATTATGAATGTTGTTTGGGCCGGATAAATACATATAAATACCACATTCACCACTAAAAGTTCTTGATGTGTTTTTCTTGTTTAAGCAGGAGAGCAACAAACCACCAAGATACATGGGGTACTTTTTTTTCGTCGTCCTGAAGTAGATACAGTATGATACAGTAGTATACAGAATAAAAACATGTCAACGATATTTGGGTTTCTGTATTTTTGTTGTACTTTTTTGTTTTTGGATGTTTTTGGTGTATATCCTTACCCATAGGATCCATGGTGCTGGTATATATGCTAACATAAAGGGGGTATATTGATGGTTATTGATGGTAAATGTTGCCATATATAGCATACATGGATCCTATGGGTTACCCTCTGGTAATTTAACATAGCTATTGAAAATGGTGATTTAACATAGACCCGGGCAAGCCGGCGGCGGAAGTTTCCCAAACATAAATGACCTATAGTTCAAAGACACCCTGTCCCGACCGTGTCCTTCCCTCGACACTCCACACCTCACACTGCACACTGCACTCTTCGCACTCCAAACTTCAAACTTCACCCTCCACACTTCACACTCCACACTTCTCACTTCTCACTGCTTCCTTCACACTCCAAACCTCACACTTCACACTTCACACTTCACACTGCACACTTCACACTTCACAGTCCACACTTCACACTTCACACTTCACAGTCCACACTTCACACTTCGTACTTCACAGTCCATACTTCACGCTTCACACTTCACAGTCCACACTTCTCACTTCGCATTTCACACTTCACACTCCACATTTCACACTTCTCACTTCTCACTGCTTCCTTCACACTCCAAACTTCACACTTCACACTTCTCACTTCGCACTCCACACTCCACACTTCTCACTTCTCACTGCTTCCTTCACACTCCTAACTTCACACTTCTCACTTCGCACTTCACACTCCACACTTCACACTCCACACTTCACAGTCCACACTTCACACTTCTCACTTCTCACTGCTTCCTTCCCACTCCAAACTTCACACTCCAAACTTCACACTTCTCACTCCACACTCACTCACACTCACACTTCACACTTCTCACTGCTTCCTTCACACTCCAAACCTCACACTTCACACTTCACACTGCGCTCTTCGCACTCCACACTTAAACTTCACACTCGACACTTCACGCCCCACACGTCCAACTGCTCTAAACTTACGTGCAACAAAAAAAACTAGCGCCAAAATGGAGAAACTCATAGAGCTTTGGGTCTCATGTCTGAAAAAAAAATGGTCCAGAATGTCATACATTCAACAAACCACAAAACTCCAACCCATGCTGCACAAGGCATTGAAAGATCTCAGTGAGACCTTGCATTGGCTCGCTCCCACGACAGCTTTGTTTTTTCACATGTATGCAATACGATCATGGTTGTTTGTGCGGTTCATAACTACGCACACATAAACCAAAAGCAAGTGACAGAGGCATTCTGCGGTTCGCAAGGCTACATGAAAGGCGAAGCTACTGAAGGACAGCAATTCAAACTCGGATGCGGTTCATAACAACGCACACCCAGCCCTCGGCAGTCAAGCGAGAGTTGATCCCTCTGCGGCAAGACCACGTACTGTTGCTGTGCAAGATGTTTAGCCATTCTGCGCACTGAGGCTGGTTTTGTGGCAACGCAAAGCGTACCAGAGACTTCGGCTTTCTCCAATGGCCCCAATCTGAACTTTTGGCGCTCTAGTCATTCACCACAGATGGCTGCACACTTGCCGCCGTGCTCGTGTGACTCTCCAGCGCCGCAAATAGGATTTACGAGATCCAGCTGCAAGAGACATTACGCATGCCTTCATGCAGCCACTCCAATAAGATTTTCGAGATCCAGCTGCAAGAGACATTACGCATGCAGCCAAAGCAAGAAGCAACCTTGACGCAGCCATTCCAATGCGATCTGCGGAGACTGAGTTGCAAAACACAATAGAACTACGCGCAATGGCGTCGGAAATTGTAGCTCCAAAACCGGATCTCGACGCCAGAGCGAAAAAAAGACGATTTTGAAGCACTTTTTAAAAGGATTTTTAGAAGGAAAATCACTAGCGCCAAAATGGAGAAAATCTGCTAACAAATCCATGTGGCAGCCTTCATGCAGCCACTCCAGTACGATTTACGAGATCCAGCTGGAAAAGACAATAGTATTACCAATGCAGCCACAGCACGAAGCAACCTTGACGCAGCCATTTACACTGCGGGAACGATCCTACAGTTGCAAAGCACAATGGAATTCCATCGGCAACTCCTCCACTTGCACCACTTGCAATCCCATTTACAGTGAGGGAACGATCCTAGAGTTGCAAATCACAATGGAATTCCATCGGCAACTCATCCACCAGCACCACTTGCAATCCCATTTACATTGCGGGAACGATCCTACAGTTGCAAATCACAATGGAATTCTGTCGACCACACATGCACGAAAAACAGTTGAAACCTCATTTACAATGCGGAACCGATCCGAGACCAATCCGAGGATGATCCGAGGATGATCCGACCACACACGAGACCGTCTCGCACCCGTCGCACAGCAGAGGTAGATCATCGACGTTCGAGGACGCACTTTGTATGGAAAAACATAGGCTTTCGTGCATCTGCTATCTCTCAAAAACGCATTTCGTGCGAGACTTCCTCCAAAACTCCATCGGCAACTCCTCCACTTGCACCACTTGCAATCCCATTTACATTGCGGGAACGATCCTACAGTTGCAAATAGTCTTGTCCAGTGGCAAGTGAGTCTTTTCCATTTGGGGAGTGGCTCTTTTGTCCCAGTGCTTGGCTCAAAGGAATCATCCTAATTTGAAGAAGTGTTACTGCAGCATCACTCAGTTCCAAGACCTTTAAGAATGATCAACTAATATTCAACACAATTTTTGCATAAGCTCCCAGCAAGTGTTGCCTTGCTCTATAGAGCAATGTCTTCATCTTCGACATCGGAGTCTGATTCTGAATCATCATCCGTTGGCACCAATGACAAGGACGGGAAAGCCAAAACAAATTACCACGCATAATCCATCTCTCGTGCCCCCCATCTAGGAATGGCCCATAATTAATGCCCCTGAAGGACTTCAACATCCCTGAGATGACCAAGCGCTACCTTGATGAGGTCGGACCTCTTTTCCTCCAGAAATCTGGATTCTTGGCAAGCTCCACGCAGTTTTCAGAATGACTGGGTGGTGGCAGGGACCAGCAGGGGCATTGCCTTCATGTTCGTCAACATGTGAATATCCCCCTCAACAAAACTTTGGTGAAGAAATGGTTCACCATTTCAAACCCAAGAGTGTGCATTTTTCAAGAACATTTAATTCTGAGGATTGAAAAAATGGTTCGAATTTGGCAAAGACGGTGCCTTCTGCTTTGCGTCGGATTGCGCCTAGGCTTTTTAAAATTTAATCTGAAATGGGATTGGGAGAGAAGTTGGGGAACAGTGCGATCTATAGGCAGCTGTACGCATGCATGCTCCCAGGCAGTGGGGCGGACACTCCCTACATGGCCTTGCAGATGATCTTCGATGCTGCTGGTCAGAGTGATCGTCTTGTGCATCTGCTGCTTGGTGTGATGTTGGTACCAGACATGGGGTTTAGTTTGTTACTAGCTACAAGCTCAAAGGAGGCCAAATTAAGGTGTAAATTTCAGACCCCAAACCATTCTAGGCTTCATGTTGGAGGAAACGGGGTTGCCATGGCTTTCTTGGGGCATGAGGTTGGCTTCCGAGATTCATCCGAAGAAACGGCAGTTCCTGAAGGACAACTTCAATGTTCGGCAGTTTCTTGGTTTTTGAGGGCGTCCTAGGTACTGTTCGGTAACGTGTTTGGTCCAGCTGTGGGTTTGCTCCCATGAGTGCACATCGCACAGGCTGACCGATTCAGTGTTGAAACAAAACAACAAGGACCTGATCGAAAAGGCGGCTGTACTTTCCATGAAACTTGTTTGTGCAGAGCCCTGGCAATCTATCTATTGTAAGTTTCTCATGTTTCTGTGCCGCTAGGTCAGTGTTTACGCTTCGGGGTTCCCATGTACCCCATATTCCAGCCTTGGAACATTGGGCCGCCTACAAGACCCCAACGCGAAGCAGCTGCTAGCATGCGTACGCCGAATCAAGAGATGTCGGCCGAAGGCCCCTTAGTGTATGGAAATTTCAATTACGGTAACCTACACACCTGTTTTTTCTTGGTTGACCTGCCAGCCGTGTGCACAGATCTGCGTACTTGAGAATGTCATGGGCTTCCTGGTTGTTGCCGAGAAGGTCGCTAAATTTATCGAAGCCAATGTGCCGGGGTTATTTGGCTGGGCAAACCGGTTTAGATTTTGTTTGTTTTTCAAAAAATGCACAACACCATGCCCCTAGATCTCCGTATCTACTTTTATACACATAGACATAGTCCCTATGTCCATCTATTCATCCATCCAACCATCCATCCATCCACCCATCTATCTATCTCTATCTATCGATCTATCTATCTATCTACCTACCTGTATTTATCCATCTATTTATGTATCTATCTTCCTGTCCTTCTTTCTTTCCACCTTTGTTTCCTTCTTCCTTTGTTTTTGTCTTTCGGTCTATTTTTTTTATTTCTTTTATTTCTTTCTTTTTCTTGCTTTTCTCACTGACTTGTTTTCTTGCTTTCTTTCGTTCTTTCCCTCGCTATTTCTTATCTCTTGCAATCTTTCTCTTTTCATACATTTTTTCTTGTTCCTTTCTTTCTTTCTTTTCTTTCTTTCTTTTCTTGCTTTCTTTCCTTTCTTCCTTTCTTCCTTTCTTCGCTTCTTTCTTCCTTTCTTTCTTTCTTCCTTCCTTTCTTTCTTTGTTCCTTTCTTCTTTCTTTCTTTCTTTCTTTAGTTATTCCTTTCTTTCTTTCTCTGTCTCTCTCTCTCTCTTACTTAGATTGTTCCTTTCTTTCTTTCTTCCTTTCTTCCTTCTTTCCTTCTGTCCTTCTTTCGTTCTCTCTCTCTCTTTCTGTCTATTTATCAATGTTTCCTTGTTCTATCTGTCCATCGATGTAGCCGTATATCTATCAATCTACCTGCCTGTATCTTCCCAAATCATTCTCTCTACCAACTTGCATATCTAAGCCCCTCTTGATCTATCTATGTATGTATCAAACAACTTACCCAACTAAGAAACCAAGCACAGAACTTAAAGAGTAAAATGTTACCCTCCATGTATTTGTGTATCGTGTATCTGTGTCTTGTTCATGTATACATTTTTACATGCTATATAGAACCGATATTTGTATATATACTTGTTTCAGGATCAAACAAACCAACCCATTTTTCACCAAATCAAAGATGTTCCCCTATGGTGTCACAAACCGCCAGCTTAGGTATGAGATGCTGTTTGTGACGATGAACCCGTGATCCTGTGGCAAAGATTGCGTTGAATGCTACAAGTCGGGGTGTAAGCAAGTGTTGTGAAGTAATCATGGTGTCAAACCCAATCCTAGGCGAAGGTATGGAGCACCTATCTCAAGGAAGAGGCTATACCTGGTCATGATTGAAAATTCTGTGATGCGGGAGGAGGTCAAGCAACAGGATTTCACTGACTACATCAAGAAGAAGTTAGATGAAATGAAGATCCCTACCAAAATATGTTGGTCTCTTACCTCAACTTCAGAACAACTACAGAAACACATGCCTTCAAGGATGGTTTGTTAAGTGTATGTTTCACTTTTCCCCTTGCCACCACCCGGCATCCGCCAAATTGAGAATCTGAGGAATGAGCTTCTCTTGCCGTCGGACCACCCAGCTGTTTCTCGAGATATGGAGAAACGACGTCAACAGCGCACGGCGGCAGCATCCCAGTTTCTTGGATAGGGCATCCACACATATACCACTGTATAAATGAACGGAATTCCCACTCTAGATTTTCACAGAGACACATTCTGAACCCAAGGAAAGTTCCCAAAGGGGCGAAATGGGTCAAGAGACACCGTGGGTGGGCAAAGAAGAAGCAGGTGAGAATGTATACTGGTGCTCAAGTTTTTTGATTCATGTGCAAAAACAAATTTAATTCTTAAGGATGATCGAAGTACCCTTTTACATCACGCGTGATTGCAGGTGTCGGTCAAAAAGGTGAACAGGGAGAAACTGTTCGCAAAGAAGTATCGAAAAGCTGCCACTCAAATCACAAGCCACCGTGAGATGGAGGTGGGGTAATACCAAAATGAGACACTCTGGGTTCTTTAACTACAAATATATTGTCCTAGGCCTGCGCCCCAGCAGGCATGCAACATCCTGGCTGGCTGCCATGAAAACTTGAGCGTCGTGAACACAAGCCAGAGTGTGGATCACATGCCTGTTTTGCATAGTGACTTGGATGACTTGATGTGCCTCACGCCGCTTGGACTAAAGTCTTGTGGGGGTGGGCTTCAGGTTGTATGACCCATTTCTGGGGATTGTATGGTAATCCACCTAATAAGCTAAGGCCATCAGGTAAGTTCCTGGTGACATCTCGTGGGCGGTATATGATTGGCCGGGAGATCATGATGCTCATGGGACACCCCATCCATCGTCTATCTCTTGGATCATGCTCTGAATCGGTTTCTCGTCTTTTGGTGATGCAATGATTTTTTTGGGAAACTGCAGCAAGCTGACCGAAGATGTTTACAAAACGAATTATTGTGGACAATTGGTCCCGCTTGATATCCACCATTGTATAAGGTCCTTCACAGCATGGGTGGCAATGCTATGGCCCTGCGTGCTGTCCTACCTTGTATGCTAGCAGCCATGTCAGCATGTGACCCCGAAAAGCTGTTAGTGCCGCATGGCGACTTACAAAATTAGAGAGATTTCCTCCGGAAATTCGATCAGACACTGATGCATCGATGCTGTAGCGGAAAACAGGGGATCAACTTATAAACAAGTTCAATGTGCATCTGATGGCTCTGGCACATATGCTTGTGCAGACTCGATTCTATCATCTCAACCCTTTCGCAGCTGGTTCATAAATATGTGCACATTTGATGAAAAATGACCAGATTCACAAAAGTTACCATTCTGTTCAGTCCAGTCCCAACACTTTGAGGGTTTTTATCAGTTTAAAAATGAAAACATTTATTTGATGCTCAATGTTATGATCGGATTTTTCTGGGAATAGAACCTGCGTACATGTCATGTCTTTGGCGCGGTGGGATGCTGAAGCCGATTCCGCTGCCAACGAGCTGAATCTGAAACGGTATGAAGATGATTCGGACACTAGTTCTATGTCAAGTGGATGCAGCTCTGACTCTGAGGGTTGCCAGCAACTTGGCGGCACATTGTCATGGGTGGTCCAACGCTCTCGGCCAGCACATTGGGTAGTCCAGTTGTTTGATGTTTAAAGTTTAACATCCTGTGGACAACATTGGTCGACACTGATCTTAGGATATCAACTTCTGAGACTACTACCAGCATTTCAGACACTGACAGCGGGAGTGGGGGTGATGACGACCATGCCCCAGCTGTGATTGATTTGACTTATGAAAGGCTCCAGTCGTTGCATGCCCATGGAACAATTCCCAGGAAAGAGCTAGGTGATTATGCCAAACGAGGTGTTTCATCTTCCCGAATCAAGGCTGCAGTGAACAAACCATGTTGCACATGTATGTGCAAACTGCCTGTGATGATTCTCTACAAGCTGTGCATTGCGTTTTGGACTTTGACCAAAAGCTCTCAAGATGCTCTCTTATGGAGTATTCAGCATGAGTCGGGGAACCAGAAAAAAAAACGTTGGTACATGGCAGGACCGCTAACACATGGTCAAATTATTGTTCACCCTTTCACCCTATTCGAAACCATCCCTCACAAAGTCAAAAACTAACACATGGTCAAATTATTGTTCAAACTTTCACCCTATTCGAAACTATCCCTCACAAAGTCAAAAACATGTTCTGGTGCAGGATACCCAATGTGCAAGGATGCTTGGGCACATTGCCTTGGGGTGGGCAAGCACCGCCTTGGGCGGTGCCGAAACACCTTTCAAGGAAGAGATGGCAGATCTTTAACTGGACGTGGGGGACACTACTCTGATTTATGTTGATTCAACATTTAAATTTAAATGACACATTGTTGAATAAACAATAATTACTGCCGCCCCTTCCTTGCTCTCAGTGCCACCTTGCTTGTCGCTCAGGACCAGCGGCGCCTGCGTCGGTGAAGTCATCGAGCGTGAGCAATTTTCTGATCCATCTTTACTGGACTGCGGCAGAACCGATGTCTACAGGGTATCTTTGGAGAAAACTTAACATGGCTTGTAGTGAGTACATGCAGCCACTCATACATTCAAAGAATCAACCCATACAGTCAATGGGTTTGTTGGGAAAATAAAACAGCGGGCCAATCCCAAGGATAATATCCAAGTCCAGCATGAACAAAGATGATGGCCTACTCCGAGATGAGTTAATGCAGCGGTTAATAGACTGTCGGCTCATGAGTGCGTTCACAGAGATTGTCTTCAATCAAGACCCAAATCGCCTGGGGTTACGAGAATTACCACATGGATCTTGGAGTAATGTGTATGTGCTCTACCAGGCACACTGCCGTGCTCGGGGTGAGGTCCCGGCCTCCAAATCCACGTTTTTCTCCGTCTCTCAGCAATGGCGTTGTTGCCTTCGGTTTCACAAGAAGTCACAGCATTCAGTGTGTGTTACATGCAGTCGTTTGAAGATGCTTATCAGGCATTCACACGAAACTTGGGTGAAAACACTCGAAGTTTTAGATTTGGATATGGTGACCCAAACTCGCAAGAAAATGTCTTGTACACAAATCAGTGCTACCTAGTTCTTGGGGAAATAGCCCATCGCTGCATGCCAGAGCATGCCGCTACCTGAGGATGTGAAGAGATACTGTGAGCTCAGCCAGCAATTGTTGAATCACTACTTGAAAACTCTGCAGGACCGCCAAACTTACTGGACAGCACGTGAGCGTGCAAAGACGGTTGGGGATCTTCTTGTTTTGAACATCGATAGCTATGACAAAGCTAAAGTCACTCTCCCCCGATGGCCGTTTCAACGTTGCCCCAAGAGGGCTATTTATGATCAAGTTCGTCGTTGATTGTCTGCACCTGGTGTTGTTTTCTTTCTCTCTGTTTCGAAAAGACTTTGCCTTACCGTTTTTGCTTCCCAACCATTTCCCAAAACCACTAGCAAGTAAGGTACCTCTATGACTTTGACTGGGTGCATCGTTCACGGATACGGTGTTTTCCTTTACCTTGTTGATGAAGGTTTCCCCACTGGAGCAAGCTGGACGATAGAGGTTGCATCTTGATTGAAAACCAACTAAACCATTCTCAAAAAATAGTTTTGCCAGGGCTCCCCGGTCCCCTGCCTGCTCTGCAATCCAAGGCCATGCGTTCCATTGACAGAGCCTTTGTCATTGCGCAGAGCAAGGGCAGGCGCTTTCCAGCTGAGTTTCTGGTCAGCAAAAACATCAGTGGGTACAAACTGTCTGAATGCCTTGTCACTTATTATCCCAGCAATCTATAGATTGGAAATTTGATGAGGTGTTGGGTTCAGGGCGACAACGCCTGCAAGGAAGTTCGAAACTCCTTCACTGGCCGTTGGGCCTCATTATTGTGCCAGGGAGGATGGTTTACAGGTGTGGCCCACCACCATATGGTGGTGGGCCACACGCACGAAGACATAGGTGGGGCATCCAAACATAATAATTATACAAAACAATGATATAATGCATATATGTTTTTATGGTTTAAAACCGTACATTCCTACATGCCACTGTCTTGATATTTTGTAAGGCCTACTATTTTGTAAATTTACAAAAGCACATGCATACACACACACACATACACATACGTATGCTGACCCAGGAAACACATGTATACATACACAAACATCACCTGTCACATCAACATCCTGCCCCCTGAGATGGTATCTTCTCCATTGTGACATCATCTTTGAACTCACAGCATGATTTGCAGACACCTCGTGACGTTCAAAGGAGTGGGTTTTGGTTTTACTTGTCAAGCCCTCATCATCCCCCGCAGTTTGAAGTTTCTCCTTTGCAGGACTTTGATCCAGAAAATGCGTCCTCTGTTCGAAAAATCAGGGCTGCAGTTCGATTGCGAGCTTGTGGACACAGCAGCTTGGCTGAGCCCCAAGCCCTAGTGTATTGTCTCCCCCGTTCTGATAATGTTGTAACTCCAAGTGCTCTCTAAGTCCCGGGACTGGTGCCGGCTGATGCCGGCTGGAGCTACTTTGAAGAACTGCTACCGGGCTCGTAAGGGTGATGGCGATGGAGAAGAGACGTTCTGTGTCCCGCAGAGTTTTACTTTTATGGCCAGGGAAGGCCAGGCAGAACCAAAGGGAATGAAACAAGGGAATGTTCATTTTTTCAGTGAACATATACCTCTGATTGTTTGAACGCACTTGTCCCGGAGGCATGCCCGGTGCTGGGTACGGTTTGGATCTGGATGATCACCTGCCCCGTCGGTTGAGACTGGAACAAGGAGGTAACAGCAAAGACGTTTTTTGCATGGTCAAGGCCACGATGGCAGATGAGCGGCTGTCCCAGCCACCAATTCTGGTATACCCACAATGCTTTCTTCCTGCAACCCAAGGGTTCTTCAACAGGATCAACGACACCAACTTGCTCGTGACCGCTTCTTTAGATCAAGGCCGTTGTGAGGAACTGTCGGAGTTGGCCGAGAACATCCAGAAAGATTTCCCGCATATGCAGAGAGGTGTGGCATACCTGAGGTCTCTGATGGACGGGGATAGGCGCCGGCAACCGTTGCCTAGGCTGCAATTTATTGAAGCAGGTCCAGCTGCTTCTCTTGGCCTGGGCAACTTGCAAGTCGGACAGCCTCCACCTCCCCCGAAGCCTCACAGGCTTCAGGTAGTTTTCCATCATCAGCCGGCAAGATGATGATGTGTACTTTTGTTTGTCTGGGGTGTGGCACGAATGTGCCAATGGGACCACAAAAGATCTAACAGGATCTGATGGGTGCTCTAACCTTCAAGGGGTTGGCAGAAAAGAAGTTGCTCAAGTTTCCATGTGGTTTGGCGACTTGTCAAGTTTGAAACTCTTGTGGGATTCAAACGGGATTGCACCTCATCACATTGTGCATTTTGAAGGTCAATTTTTCCAAGATCCCAGGGTAGGAAAGCCGGTCGACCTCCCAAGTGCAATGGGGGAGTTGGCTGCTGATGCGGCTTCTGATGAAGTGCTTCAGAAGATCGCAGCGTTCTTCGAGTCAGTTTGGGGCTGATTTGATCGCAGGGATGGATGTCAGTGCGTAAAAGCAATTTAATTTTGATGTTTTTGGGGTGCTTTTCGCATCTTTGAGGTCATTCAGGATGGCAATTTTGGAGAGTGGGTCAACAAAACAGATCGAAAAGTGTTGGACGAGGCTCCGTCTGGGAGTACCCAAGTCAATGAACCATCTAGTCACCTAGTCACTCTTGAATGGCAAGTCGGTTTCTGAAAAGTTAGCAATGGGCAGGTTTTGCAGAAGCTGGTGCCCATCGACCGCACTGAAAACCGTCCAACCCTGACGATCATCCCGAACACGTCAATGAAGGAGTTCTGGCTCCCTTTGAGTGCATTTGATTTGACGGCCACGTCCAAGTCTGGATGTCGGGGTTTTGAAAAATGGTAGCCGCTGTTTTCGATTTGTTTTGCAAGCATTGTGTGTTGTTCCAAGGCATATAATTTTGTTTTTTGAATGAACCATCCCCTGGCAGACTATCCACAGAATACCCAGATGGCATGCCATTTCAAAGAGTTCCTCAAGGGCGGCTATCGCATCAGCGCGGAAAGTGTGGAAGTGAAGTTTCCATCGGGAGACGGGACGCGCCAGATCTTTTCAGGCAGCGTCGGCATCAATGATGGGTTTACCAAAGTGTTGATCATGGCCGGGATCACTTTGATCTGCCATCATCTGGAAACATGATGGCATGTGCTCGTCAAATGTTGCTATTTATCCCTACAATCTTTCTGATATGTCGTCCATTTCCAGAAGATTCTGGGTGGTTCTGGGTAGTGGCAGCGAATTATGTCATACGGTCGAGCATGCTAAAGCTTTCCTAAGGAGCTCTCACAAGAACAGCTTGAACTACCAGGGGTGGAAGTTGTTCTCAGCAGTTTCCGCTGGGTGCGGTGTGCATACACACACTTTGAGAACCCGTCAATGCATTACCTCCATGCTCTTCGACTCTTGTTTTTTACTTTGGTGCAAAAGGTGTTTGCAACCCAACACGTTTTTACCTTATATACTATGATCGACTTAATAGAGTTATAGGTACATACATACACATGCTACTAATTTAGTTAAACTGATGCCCATTGTTGCAACCTATTGCTTTTGATCTCTCCATACCTATGATCTCTATCCCCCTACAGTTATGGCCATTTATTAGTTATAACTGGTTATAAATGGGATTATACAATCTATAAATGGGGATATAAGTACTTATAACTGGTAAAGGGCCATAACTTTAGGGCTTTTCCAAACACCGAATCGCACTGAGGCATTCAGCATGTCACGGCTCAGAAGCAGGCGCCTTCACCCATAGATTTCTTGGGGGCCATGAAGATGGCGGTGAATGTGGAAAAGCGCCTTGCGAAGGGCAAGGTCTCGAATGCATTGCGGGATGTGCTCACCC